AACTAACAATAATCAACAGTTTAAAAAAAATCAGTAGTAAAAACATTCTGGCTCCAGTTCTCCAGCTGGAATTGGCCTAACCTATGCAAGCTATCCAGGAGAAACAGCTCAGGGTTCCCCACTTTCTGGAGGTGAGGGAGGTCAAGGCCTAGAGATACTGCTTCTCAGTCGCAGCACTGTTCCTTTGAAATGGGGTGCTGGTTAAAATTAGATTGAATCCCTCCCTGTCTTTCACAGTTTAAAACAGACTTCATAGATTGTTGGGGGACTGGCACTGTTTATTGTTATTGTTTTATTTATTTATTTATTTGTTTGTTTGTTTGACCATGGATGTTTTAATTGTATACGTATATAGCTGTGAACTGCTGAGAGTCCTTAACTGGACTACAGTGGTATATAAGGATGGTCTCCTCCTATCTCTGCCCGGCTTAGCTCCCTATCCCCCCTCTTCTAATCAGCCAATTATGCCAGATAACAATGGTCCAATTACACTTGAAGTACTTAACCCCACCTGGCAGCTATAGTCATACCTCAACCACACATCCCAATTGCACCTTCTAGTAAGAGAACAACCAGCCCTCACCTCCCACTCACCAACTAAGGCAGAAGTAGGAGGGGAATCTCATTCCAGGATGGGTATTTCTTCTCAATTCTGTGATTCTTGCTCCAAGAACAGATAATTTAATCTATATCAACTTCTTTTCCTGTGGTTGCTTTATTTGTGCTTCTACTCTTCCTCTGCCACCATTGCATATTTTCACACAGTCCCAAGCTGAGGTCTGAGGTTATTCTCAGTTGGCCAGTTCATTGTCAGTTTTACTAGGCTCTTGTCCAGCCGGCCTAATTACCCCAGTCCTGGCAATCTGGTGTAACTCTTGGTTTTTCTGACCTGCTTTCATTCTTCTTTCTATCTTTTCTCTACCTTTTGTTTGTTCTAGTCCCCCCTTCTTTTCTTTTTCCTTTCCTCCTCTTTTCACCTTTTTCTCTCTATGGCTCAGTTGACATGGCAGCCACCTAGTTCCACACCATCTTCTCTTCCATTCCTTGATGGGCCATCCAAAGGAAATCCAAATGATGTCCTCAGCAATTCCCACAGAAATCATTGAATCAAAATCAAAAAGGTTATGTAATGGTTCTAGGGATTGTATTTTCCCCATCTTCTGTCAATCCACAGAGAAATATACAGATTCCATTGCTATGTTTATTCCTGTCCTTTCACATAATTAGAAATATATTAGACCAGCCTTTGTAATGGGATCACAGGATCCCATCATCTTTCTGATCATCTTTTATCTGATTACTTTTAAGTGAAGAGGCTAGGAATAACCAGGAATTGTTCATATGTAAAGCTTGTGTGTTACCATTCAACTATAGTTATGGGAAGTGTTTGGTTAATATATTAATTCCATCTTAATCCATTTTGTATGGTAAGATTACTGTAGTACGACTCTAAAGTGATGATCCAACTTTATCAGAGTGCTAATTGTCCAGCAGGACAGCTGAATTCAATCCTAGGAAACTGGCAACCCTATATCTTCTATGTGCTTTACCTTATGTGTTCAGTTTTATTTTATTGGCTACATATAAGTCATTCTGGCTGTAAAATTGGCTTTTACAATATTGTTCTTCAAAGTGCAATTTTTGTTGCAGCTTTGAGGTAACTGTATGGAAGAAAAACTGCAGATGGGATCAATATTGCCTTGTTTAAGATCAGAAGCAGATGCTCATTTTCATGTTAAATGTTATATTGTTGTGATTTCCAATGCCAGTCTTGAGTAAAATTACATTTAAAAGAATTAGAGAAATTAATGAGTCTAGGATACACTTGATGCAGATATAATTTTGTCACGGCTTATAGCATGTCTTATATCTTATATGACTTGCAAAGGCAAATATGTCCTACACTGTCATTTTGTGATCTGATTCAGGTAATAAAACTAGAAGCATTTTGAGTCTCTGGTGAACTTCTTTAATCACAAATTTAGTATTTCGTTTTTGTAGTTGTTTTGTTCTTTGCAGTAACACAACGTGTCCTAAATAATGTGCATAGCTTTGTCTTTCAGATATTTAATTAAGACTGCATTCTATGATTCAGTTCAGAAATAAGGGGAAAATGTATTTTCCTTATATGAGAACCAATTAAGATTTAAATAAAGTGGGAAATCATGATTTCCGGTTATAACTGATGACAGACTTGATTCTATGCATGTCCTTTCTCCTTCTTTCCTCCTTTGTTTTTCTTCTTCTGGTTGTGGCAAGTTAATTTCACTTTGCAACCAAACATTTGAAATTGTGTTTTGTTCAAACACTACAGTAAGTGAAGAGTTATTAAGTATCAGTATTACTCAGACATAATAGAAAAGTGAGATTTGTTTCAATCAGCAACTAGATTTAAACTTCTTGATTTTACATGAGGACATGAGAAGGAAAGAGAAGAACTGTATACTTCCAAGGTTCGCCATAAATCATCCTTGTAGCTAAAAATCATGGTTTCCCATTACACTGAAACTGAGCTCATGGTCAGCATACTGATTATAGATGTGAAAAAGAATTTAGCTGTTTGAAGCATGGTTACTGACATAGTCTTTGTCAGTAACCATGCTTCAAACAGCTAAATTCTTTTTCACATCTGTAATGAGTAATACAAGTTACACTAGTAAAAACAGTCTTCTTCAATATCTTTCAATTAAATATTTTTTTGTTCATTGGTAAGATATATGATTTTCAGAAATATAAAGACAATATTTCCATTTTAACATAAACACCACAGTTTGGATAATTAAAATTTCCTTTTCCTATTTTCAGTTATAGCTAATTTCCTGGAGATGGTAAAAGTGATATTTTGTAGCAGCTGCAAAGTTTTGCTTGGACAGTTTTGCAATGCGTTTTTGTCTGAAATTTAGATTTTTACTTAAATGTACTAAATGTTTTATTCTTGAGATTATATATATACATATATCAGGAATAAAAATGATATATATGATTACAGTAACCTGGTCCAAATGAAATAACAGCATTTAGAAGCAGGTGTGGTCAGATATAAGAAATACCAAAAAACCATTGCAACCTTGCTGAAAATACTAGCAGATGCCAGGATAGGATAAATCAGGTTTGATCCCATCATCATCATCATCATCATCATCATCATCATCATCATCATCATCATCTTGTCTGATATCTCTAGAATAAAAAGGGGAATGTCTTACAACAATAAATATTCCTTCATGTATGTCTTCTAACAGGCAGGTATGTTACATCGCAGAAATGTGAAGGTCATGTAATATTCTGGGACACAACTCAAGTTATATAAACAAAATATATGCAGCACCTACTATACATCCCAGTACTATTCAGGCATTGGCAGTAGTGTTGTGTCCACTAGAGTTATTATATGATCATTAATACTCACTGATTTGCCTGTGATCTATGCCACTTCATATTAGAGACAGAACTTTCTAAAGTGAATGTTCCTCTGCACGAAGATAGATAGATAAATAGATAGATATAGTCTAATAATTCAAGCTGAGAAGTAGAAGATAATCCCTCTTTACAGATGAATTTGGTTTAGTATAGAAAAGCATATTTGATGGCCTCAATAGGGTCAGAATGGCATATTTTGTCAATTTTCACTAAGACGTTGCACTTTTTCAAATAGTGCTCTTAACATTCTAGATAATAATCATTATTCTCACAGCGCATAGTACCATGGCTTGCTATAAGGATGCTCAGTTAATGAGGGTTATTTTTCAGTTATAAAATTATATAATTTTAGAATTGGAAAGGAGCATAAAGCTCATCTAACCCATCCTCAGCTCACCACAGGTTTCTTATAATAATGGCATTGTTGACAGAGGGTGATCCAACTCCTACTGAAAGTTTGATCCTTCCCTAGTGTTACAAAATGATTGATTGAATCCACTCCAAATTGGAGTTAAAAATTAGTTCT